TTGTCTCTAAGACATAGTAGCTATCTCTAATACTGGCCCTTAGCGCCTTTATTAGGGAGCCCCTTTTTCTTGCTCTAACTTATTATTGACTTGGTGAATTTTAAGACTATGAATCTGCCTTGTTTTGTTAGTGATTGAATTTTGACATTTTGAACAACCTCCGATCTGATGGCGTGGCTCTTGACAATAAAAATACAATCCTTTTTGTACCAATATTTGTCATCTTTGTAGTGTCAATATTCTTTGTAGGGCATCAAACTCTATTGGCATTGGTTGTTGTGCCATAGTATTAGATAGCGGCGTAGGACTTTGTGCTACATGTTATACTCTACAATTTCTAAAATCTATAGCATTGAGCTTCTCTACAATCCTAATTGCCTCTTCAAATGTTTGTAGATTCTTTAGTTCTACTTCTCACTGGATCCCAAGCTTCAAACCTCATAGAAATCAATCCATCATTTCTACCTTTGAAATATTATCAATTTAAAAATATAGAGACTTGAATTGGGAGACATAATCTTGTATTGACTTAGATTGTGTAAGATTTGTTAATTGATTGCATGCTATCCTTTTCCCATTGATGAGCCAAAATTGATTCCTAAACTTGGTTTTAAACTCCTCTCAATTACAAAACCCACCTTGAGCTCTATAGCTTTGAACTTGATGTCATCACCAAATAGCTGCCACATCTTTCAAATAGTTGACTGCATATATAATTCTTTTACTAATATTTGTCCCAAATAGTTGGAAATATTTTTGCATTTTGAAGAGCCATTGACATACATCTTCTTGTCTTGAAGTTCCAGAGTATGTACTAGGCTTACTCAATTTCAGCCTAATAGATATCAACTCCCTTATCCTCAAGGTTTCTATTTTTTCTTGCAAAGTAGCTATCTGGTGTAAGAGGTGCTATAATTGAGCTTCTATTTAGGATTGCTCTGCCATATCTCCCATGCTGTAATTTCTCTGCTAGACTCCACTATTATAATGCCTTCTTATTTTTTGGTTGACTTTTTAAGAATGGATTTTAAATTCTTTAGATCTAAAGAAATATAGAATTATCATATTTTATTTTATTATTAATATTATATCTAAATTATTTCAATAGTTTAATAGATATTTATTAAATACTATATATTAAAAATATTATAACTACGTAATCTATTCCATAAATTTAAATGAATAAAAAATATGTTATTCTATTAATATTTAATTTTTTACAAACTAAATATATAAAATCAACATTTAATTATTTATTTTTATGAAATCAACATTGTATCTAGTAATAAAAAACTTAATAACTTGAATATTTTAAAATATTAATCAAAAAATAAACTTAAAAATTAAATATAGAAGTATATTACTAAAATAATGGTAAAATTATAATAAATAGTTGAAATAATCAATTATTTTTTTAATATGCTTTTTTAAGAGATTTTTAATATGACAAGTTTTTTTAAAAAATATCTATATTAAAACAACATGACTTCTATAAAATAAAATTATTTTTATTCTAAATTATTTTTTTATTAAATTATATCTTTATTTATGTTTATAAATTATTTATGGCATAATATTTTAAATATATATATTTTTACTTCAATAATTACCTAGATAACATAAATATATATATTTAGATAAATATATATATATAAATAATTATATATATATATATATATATATAGACAAAAGAATATGAATTTGATAATAACTTGTAAAAAAAAACTTCTTGAAGTTGTATAGATATGGCTTTGTCTTTATACATGTTTGTAGGTGATTGGTAGATTGAAAACTTGACCAACAAGTTTACCACATGTTGCACATACTGGCCTCTTATGGTGCAAATTGGACATATAATGTATATATAAAAAAATTCTCTTGAAAATTAGACACATATCTCATAAGTTGGACATATACTAGAGGTTATATAAAATATCACTATATAGCTTCTAGTTAGATAGTATATATGGAAGCAAGAGTCATGCCTTTTACATTCTTATCAACTTTTTTAATGCTTGTAATCTATTTTTAAAAGTATCTAATTTCGTAGACTTTGCTAATATTCATTCTTGTTTCTTATTGAATATATATATTTACTTCTTTTTTTTTATCATCTTTTTTTTAAAAAAAATCTAACTTATTTATTAATATTCTTCAAGTCCTTGTTTTTTACACCTACAATGGATTTTTTAGCTTTTATTTTTTATTTTTAAAAATAAAATATGTTTATCATTTATAGAACTTTATATGTTATTTTTGTCTTATTATAATTACAATTTTTTTTTAATTACTATTAGAAATTTCTTTCATCATACATATTCTATATATTTAATAGATTTTATATTTTATTGATTGATTGGTTTATTTTTTAATTATTAATTTTTTAGATAATTTTAATCAAATACTATATATATATATATATATATATATATAGATTTAAAATTTGATTAATTTTTTTTATTTACACTCAACTGACTTGATTTATCTTTTTTTTATTTTAATCTTAATGGATTCATTCTACCTTAATACATTTAAAAAGATACACTTGTCTTCTTAATTTGTCTTCTTGATTGGCATCTTTTTCTATTTTTAAATATCATGTTACTTCAAATTGCTATTCCATCTTAATATATAATAGTAAATATTTTATAATCTATTTAATTTAATTATTGTAAATATAATTCTAATTGCACTAACTTTCACCATATCAATTTATATATTATTTGAATGCTTCTATAACTTGTCACAAATATAAATATTTATTCTACTAATTATCAATATAATTAAGTAGAAGTAGATAAAAGTAGAACAATTTTATAATATCTTTTAAAAAAACTTCTTAAAAACTTTATAAATATAACTCTAACTTTACATGATTACATTTATAGTTGATTGGTAGGTTAGAAACTTGATCAAGTTAATGCATATATATATATATATATATATAGAATTTACTATACAACTTATTAAGAGCCATCTTTATTAGACATTAGTAATTCTTAAAATCTTATTTTGTTTCTTTTATTTAATATTTAGGGGACATATTATGTAAAATTTATTAGAAAAATGATTAAAGAAGGATTTTGTATACAATGAAATAGTTAAGTCAACCATATGGATAAATAGAAATAGATGATGAAAATCTCCATTCTTAGTGGCTAAAAGTCATGCCCAATGGGCTTTAAAGAAGCTGCCTAAGGCCTTATTAGGAATTAAGATTACTCTTTATAGAAGACTTGAATATTAGAGGTTATGATCATCAAGTTAAGAATTTTGGATATGGTTTTGATAAAAATTTTGTGTGATTTGGAATTTTTATGAAAGAGATATAGGCACTCAAAGTGAAGATGTCGATTTTGTACCTATTGTCACTCTTTGGGGTATAGCACATGAGTATAAAGGGCTTTTGAAGATCAAATTATGCAATTGGAAAGCTGATTTAAAAGGCTACATTTTGCATACTAAAGATAAAAGATTTGAAGTTGGTTTGGACAAGCCATGTGTAATAGGATATAGATAAGATAATTGTATTGTTGACACATAATAATAGATAATTGGAACCACGTTGGAGAAATTATAAAAGTTTCTAGAATTGAGGCTAGGTTAGTGGACTATGTAGGGTCCATTGTGGAACCTTCTAGAAATGGCTTAGGGCAATTATCTAAGTGGAATCCATCGTCAAACCTTCTAAATGGAGCTTAAGATAGTTAACTAAGTAGGGTCCATAATCTAAGAACATTCTTGAAAGTCCAAGGTTGTAGAACAAAGTGTAAATAGGATTGGCCATGGCCTTTTGAGGCATCTGGTCAGGTATGGCTTTAGACCCTTTCTATTAATAAAATTTGATTTTGTATCTTCTTATTTGTTTTGTTTTGTTTTAATTCTGGTTGCTTAGTTTTGTCTTTGGTGTCCTATTTTGTTTAAGTTCTATTCAGTTTTGTTCTACTCCATTTTTGGTCCTACTTTGTAATGAGGAGTTGTTGCTATGGATTAAAAAGATTTTGGATACTTGAGATAGACTAGCCACATTTCATTTGTATTAGAGTAAGTGTTAGATTGTTCTTTGGTAGTGTGTCAATAGTCATCATCTAGTTCAAGGTCAGTTGATGTGGTCACATTCAACACTGTGTTAAAGCTTTTTAAATATATAAGGATTTTTATTAGTAGAATATTTTTTGATAATGTTGTATCTATTTGTCCTTTATAATAAGAATATATGACTTATTGGAACTTGGCCAATAGGTTAAAGTTAAATTCTCTACAATTAGGTACTTAATATATTTCTAGATAGAAAATCACACCATACAACAATGTGTTGGTAGCTTATGGAATAAGCTAACTATATAGTGTACATATGAAAAACTTGCCTTGCAATTTAAGGCATGTGTCTTGCAAAATTAACACGGGTTCAAAGTCATGTAGAACATTGTCATGTAACTCCTAATTAAATATTATATATACATGGAAGCAAGAAAAAAAACCTTTGTTACTCTTGTTAATGCCTTTCTAATCCTTAGTCTCGTTTTAAGACTTTCTATTCTTCTTGTTTTTACAAATATCCATTCTAATTCAATGTATTACCATTTTTTAGTGATTTCCTAAACTTTTTAAGTGACACAAGAGTGCATTGAGATTCCCTTTCTTTGAAATTAATGTCTTTGAGATAACCATAGTATACTTATAAAATAAAATCCATAATAAAGTCATAATTTAAATACTTACAATAACAGTATTATGCACAAAAAAACTGTCTTTACCTACAATGTGGCTCTATCATTCAAATAAAAAAAATAAAAAAATACATGAATTATAAGATTTCCTACTTCAAAATATATATGCACAATAGAATAGATTTAGCTTACATATTATCATCTGAAGTATTCATAAATCAATAAGAACATGTATGCGACATGAATCCTACGCCATTTACTTTGACCGCATGCATTCTCAACTTTTGATTTCTCCGTCCCACTCAAACTGTCCACCGCCACCAACTCCCAACAATTAACACATCAATGCACTCTGCTTTAGTAAATTTCGACGCCAGGTTTGGCACAGCCTGCGATTCCCAGTCACTGCGAAAGGGCCAGGCAGGAAGAGACGGAGGGAGGGACAGCCTCTGTGCACTTCTTCGGAGTGACTGGGCAGCGCAAGCCAGCATTTCGGCATTCGCTCTCACTCGCTGCTTCTCGTTGCTCTCCGTCGGGGTCCCTTCCTTCCCTCCTTGTTCTCCACAACCATTCAAGCAGCATTCGAAACGCGAGGCCATATCGTCACTGCAAATGGGGTTGGTGTCGTTTTCCAAGGTCATCATGCCTGCCCTCGCGGGCACCTGTGTTGTGTCCTACGCGTTCTGGGACTTGAGCAGGAATCGCAAGCTGTTTGGAGGTTAGGGTTTCCTTGCCCATTCTCCGTGTCTGTGGTGTTGGAAGTCGGTGTTGTGTGGGTTTGGGGGTTGGTTTTGTTGCAGGGGAGGGTTTGTGCAGGGCGATTGTCGGGTGTGAGGGTCGGAGGGAGGAGGGTTAGTTAGGTTTTGGTCGCAGTGCAGGTGTGACGATCGGTTGGGCATAGTGGGGGTTGGCGGAATGAGATCGGGATTTAGGGGTTGTGTGAGGCGATTGGATGCGACGACTGTGGTGGGAAGGAGAGATGGGACGACCTGGTGGTGGATGAAGTGTTCTGGTGTGGCGCTACGGTGACAGGTTACGTGACGTGGCGAGTGAATTGTGCGTGGGAGTGTGGGGTTGAGATTTGGGAACGGAAGTGCGTGGAGCGAGACGGGGTGAGTTGTGTGATGTGTTGACTCGATGGACGGTGGCAGTTGGGGGTGAGAAGTTGTGAAGTAGTGGAAATTTGTGCACGTTCGTAGTTGGTAGCAGGGCAGGAAAGGTGTCGAGACACGGTGACGACGTTGACGGCAGAAGCTTGGCACAATTGTGGGAGGAGGAATGAGTGAAGTCGTGGGAGGGGCGGAATTGAGGTCCAACTGTGGTGTTTAGAATGCGGGTGGCAGTGTGGTGGTGGGCGACGCAGTGGGATGTGTGTGGTTTTGGTGGATTTGGGATGTGAATAGTTTGCATGCGACGGTGGTGAGGAGGTGGGGGTGTTTTGGGGAAGTGTGGGCATGAGAAGAAACAAGCGTGGTGGCGCAGGGAAGTTTGGACAGGTGAATGTAGCGGGTTGTGGGTGTGGAGCAGACACAGTGTGGTGGTGAGGGTGAGGATGTGGATGTGGAGGCGCAATGGCGTGGGACGGTGAAGGTGGGGTGTGTGGTGACATGAGTAATGTTTATGGATTGGATGGTGCAGGTACGGTGCCGATCACAGCCCAAAACAGCGAGTGGGAGAAGGAAACAGGGAAGAAGTTGGATGCATGGCCACGTGAGGCAGCAGGACCGGTGGTGATGAACCCAATCTCAAGGCAGAACTACCACAAGGCTTGAGCGGAGTAGGATGGGATGGCAGGCGCAGGAGTTGGATGCAGGGCCATGCGTAGAATCGTAGAGAAGGGAAAGGGAATAAAGACATGAGGTGTTAGTATGCAGGTGCTGGTACACGCTTCGACTTAGGGACGCCATGAATGACATGGTTATGTATGGGAGGCGTGAATGCAATGCAATGAGAATATGACCCGGATTTCGGGACGGATGCAGAATGACAAAGCGTGTGGGACAGAATGTATGGTGATGGTGAGAGTGTCTGACAGGGCAATGGTATGGTGTGGAATGGTAGATGTGCATAGAAATGGAAGGCATGGAGGGGGAAGTGGAAATGGTTGAAATGAATGCAGTTGTATGGCGTGGGTAAGATGGCATGAGCAGAGCAGGAGCACGGCTGTGTGCAAGTGAGCTTGGTATGGTTTGGTGAAGGGGGAAGCGGAGGGGGTGGACGTGATTGGTAATGGGGATGGTGAGTGAAATCTGTGGGTTGCTCTGAGGACGTGAAAGGGTGGTGAAGGGTACCAGTCGGGCGGTGATGTTTGCCCATGAGTTTGTGGTTGTGTGATAGGATGTGGAACAGTATTGCAGCATGAGGTTGCCAACATGATGACCGGTAGATGCAGTGTGGGCTTTGTGATTGAAAGTGTTTGAAAACAGCGGATGCGGTGGTGTAGAGTGCATGTGTAGTGTGGATGTAATGAAGCGTGCAGAGATGGTAGGGAGTCGTGGTGGATGTGTGGAGGTATGGATTGGGATGGTGAGAAGGAGGGGAAATGTGGTAGTAATGAAGTGTGGAAGTGGGAAAGGGGGAAAATGTGGGGAGGTTGAAGGTGGATGGGAGGAGAGGGCAGGAAAGAGAAGGGAAAGCGTTGGGGGTATGAGGTGGGGTTGATGTGGGATGGGATAGCAATTGGAGCATGGTAGGAGAGGAAGTGATGTGGGAAGGGCGTGGGGGTGGGAACAGGTGGTGGAATACCGACTAGACGTTTTTCAGCAGCCCGCATACATTTGATTCCCACTGGGTTGTTGTGCAGGGGTGGTATTTGGTCTTGATTACTGAACAAAATTCAGGATTTAACCCTGAAAGGAGTTAAAATTTTCAAAGTTGGAATTTTTTGATGCATATACTTTAATACATAGTCTTAGATTATTATTCAAATTTTATCGTATTTGTGAACTTGAAAAGAGCTGCCTTTACGGAGTTTTTTTTAGTGAAACGTGACTTAATTTTACTTCCTCACACTTAAACGACTTTATTGAAGTTCGGTAGTTATTTTATGATGTTTTGCCTATATTACTAGTATGCATAAATGCCAATCTCACCACATTTGTTTTCCTTTTTTTGCAGTTATCCATGCACCTCTTCTCTGTTTTGTCTTTGCTATTTCCACCCGAATTTACTCTTATTATTTCTTCAATTATTTTACTATTAGATTATTATTTTTGTATATAATTTGAAAAAAGAACAAATATATGAAATTTTTACATTCTTTGAAAAAAAATTATTGGAGTATGTGAAATGAAGCAAAAACTATGGTGGCATTAATATGATTGGATTTGTTAAGTAAGTATGATGTAAAACAAATTTAATCTTATATAAAATAATCTTTAAAATATTTTTAGGAATAAAAACTATGATTCATAAATATTCTATTTCATTTTTAAATGCTTTTAAGATATGTTATTTTGAATACAATAATATTATAATAACTTGTGAGAAACTTATTGTCTTTTATTATTTTTTAAGATTATCATTGTTAAATTTTCAAATAAGGTTCAAAAAAGAGAAAACAAAACCATAAGATAATATTTTATAAAGCATTTGGAAATTATATTAAATACTTATGGGATTAGAAAATCAAAATTATAAAATAAATATTACTCAATTAAAATTTATAAATATACAAACCTTATTACAATTACTATTTTAAAAATATTTTCTTTGGTATGTAAGATTGTGCAATGATAGATTTTGGAAACAATTAGGCACAAATCTTCTTTTAACTATGTGGACAACAACTCCCCCCTTCCCTTCATGCCACGTATCCATGCATACACATAATAATATTGTTCTCATATTGTGAAAAGAACCAAAATACAGTAAATTTACAAATTGCATGCACAAGAAGAAGACCCGCTGGTAGTATGGCCTTCCTTCCTTCCTCAAGCACCAAATGCAAACCTTGTACATTTTAGTTAGTGGAGAATTCGAAGTGTTCTAGGCAGTGTAGAAAAATTTGACATAATAAATGCAATTGTGTTGTAACACAACACAAAGATGAAAGAGCAAATGAAGACCTATATTTTAGAAGGGCTTTATTGAGAATTTAGTAGAAAATTTCTTTACATACCATAGATAAAAGATAAGATGAGGTGGAAAATTTAATGTCCATAATGTGTTTTTTTACAATGACTTTCTATGGCCATAAACAAGACAAGACAATGTAGATTAGACAAAAAATACTATTAAAGACATCTCTAGGTGAAAATTAGAGGTAGTTTATAGCAGAAATTATTCAAGAAAACTCAAAATGATATTAAACAAGGAACATATGTTAACTAGGGTCAAAACTACATTTTAAAGCATAAATCTAAATGCCTATATGAAATGCAGAGTCTTTTTGTTAATCTAAAGTGGAATTAGAGAGCAAAATATTAAAAGGATTCTACATGCGGTACTTTTAAGCATATTGAGTTTATACAAACTTTTTGAGACCTAAGAAAAATAAGAATCAGTTTTAATGATTTTTTTCTTGAGAAATAAAATAAAGTTTACTTTTTGGATAATATTGTGAATTTTGTAATATATCTATAAATGATTTTTAAAAAGTTTGTGGACATACTTGTCTTAACTTTATAATATAAGTTTGTGCTCAGTTGGTTGGAAAAATCTAAAGTTATTGAAATTTAAGTAGGTTAAGATATCTATAATTAGTTGTTTAAATATTAGTAAGAATTTCAAAGATTTTTGGATATCTTCAAAGTGGATTGAGGTGAATATTTTTATATTATTGAGCTTATTCTCAACTAAGAGGTTAAAATTTGAATTTTTTTAAAGTAAAATTAACTATTGATTATAAATTAATTATATTTTTATAATTGCTATGGGATTGATTTAGAGTTGATTAGAATTTTGTTAGAATTTCTTAATGATTGTTCTAGGATTTGATTAAGTTTTCTTCATATCGTATTTATGAATTTATTAGGATTTAATTAGGTTTTTTTCATATCTTATTTATGATTTTATTAGGATTTAATTTTAATCTCATAGAATTTGATTAGGGTTTATTTAGCATTAATTAAGGTTATTTTAGAATTCTATCTGAGGTTGATTAGGATTTTCTTAAAGATTTTTTGGAATCTAACTAAGGATTGATTGGATGTATCCATGTATTTGTATGGTTAATGAGATGTAATTAGGATAACTTGAAAAAAATTTAGAGCTTTATTTAGATTATTTGTAATGGCATGAAGTTACAATTTAGAATTGAAAGAAGTTAGAATTAATTGGATAAAGAATTCAAAGAGAATTAAAATATAATTATATTTTCAAATATTTTGACAATATACTCTTATTTTGAAAAAATTATTAGACTAAAAATATTTTTATCCAATCTATTCATTAAAACAATCTTATTCTTAGATCCCCAATTGATAAATTACCAATCTGGAATTAAATTGAATCCTAGCTACAAAGATGAAAAACCTTTATTTGTCTTATTTTTGTTGTAGATATTGTAAAAAAAAAAAAAATGTTGTTTTAGTTTAAATTTTTTTCTTTTTCTTTTTCTTTTTCTTTTAAACATGCACTAAAGTAAAATAAGTAATTCTATATACTATTTGGTACTTATTTAAATTGTGTAGAAGCAATGTTTCTAGGATCTTAGAATTTTTATGATTTTACAGTAGCTATATACTTTCTAAAATATGGAGAAGAGAAGAATCAAATAACATTATTTAAAGATATAATACTTCCTTATAATTTTTTTTAATTAGCATCTATTTCTACTAATTTAGATTAATATCTATAAGTAGCATAGTTTTAAAAGAATATATTATATAATTTTTTTTCTTTCATTCCATAAAAAAATAAAATATTGTATTAAGTTTATAGATCTAAAATTTTAAATCTACTTGGTTTATGGATTTATTTTCAAATTTATAAAAACATTACATATAATATATTAGATATGTATATATTGCATCTTGTATATTATAATAGTGTACAACTTCTACAATAAAAACTAGAGCTAACTTCATTATAATTGAATACACCATTTATTTTGAAAATAGTATTGATAATGTTATATGGTATCATAATTTATGTAAACATTAAAAATAATATTTTTTAATTCAAAATATATTATTAATTATAATATATTTTATATTTATATGTATGCTTATAATAAATATAAATTTGACTAATTAAAATAATTAAACTAATAATCAAATTGTTTGAAGTAAGGATGTAAGTGATTTTTGCATTAGAAGGATGACATCTAATTAGGTTGGATATTATATTTTGAAATTAGGATTATGAAGTGATTCTAAATAGTTAGAGCTTAGAGTCTAAATTTTAAAAAAGTTGGTAAAAATAAAAGAATTAGAAATTATAGTAGTTGGAAGTTGGTTATGAGTTGTAGTAAGAAGTGTAAGAATATAGAATGAATTATTATAAATTAAAATCTCTTATCTTAGAAAAGTAGTTATAAATTTAATTTCATTGTTAGAAGCTTTATTAAAAATTAAGAATAAAGATTAGTATTTTATAGTGACAACCATGAAGAATTAGAAGTAGGTAGAATTCTAATTCTATTCTTTCTTATAAGTATCTCTTTTTACATTATATTGTCTCTTCTTTAGTAATACATAAATATATTAACTTTTGGATTATATCTAGATTCATGTCCTTTACAATAGCAATAGAATATAGTATTTTGTTTTTATTTGTAGTCATTTTATAAGTTTTTCTACATATATATATATATGGTATTTTTTGCTTTTTATGTGTAAATTCCCATGACAAGGGTAATTTTAATTAACACAACCAATTAAGCAATAGATTTGGAGTAATGAGGTTGAAAAAATAGAAAGATTGGGACAAATAAGATCCAATGGTATTAAGATATAGCCAACCCATTAAAGACAAGATGCCTAAATAAACTCATTTTAAACTTTGGATAGTAGAAAGACTTTGATTAATAACATTCAATATAACTCAC